GGGGGGGGGTCATCAGAGGTCATCGGTACCCCCTCCTCTCCCCCACTGACGTTGCTAGCACTCGCTTTCCAATACCAGAGTCCGAGAACTGGGAAGAAAAAGTACTTTCTCTTCCTTAAAGTTGGAGAACTCCGTTTCCTGCTAAGTGGCCCTGGACCCTGGCTGGGAGCTCAGAACACGGCTGTGCTGCACCTCCAGGGTCGCTGTGGGGCCAGGCGATGTCCTGGCTTCCTAGGGCTTGCGCTTCCCCTTCCCTGGTGGAGAAGGCAGGGGCCTTCTGGGCCTCAGAGCCTGAGGTGGGCACTGAACAAGAAGATGCCAGCACTGCAGCCACGCGTGGCCTTTCTCCCGTCCCTGGAGCCCCAGGGCTTGTCACCGAGAGACCACACTGTCAGAAGCAGAAAGTCAACCATCCGGAAGAGATGCCTTCTTGGCTTGAGAAGCCTGGAAAGACCCCGAAAACACGGAGTGGGGGGGCCTGTGGGGGACTCTGATGGGGAGGACAGAGGAAGGGAAGGAAGCGCAGAGCTGGCTCCAGGCGGGATGACCAGGCTATTATCGTCCGGTGCCGCCCCCCACCGAGCCTAAGCTAATCTGGACCCTGCTTCCGCTCCAGCTCCAACAGCTCCGGGAGGCAGCCCCAGCCAGCAGTCTTTGAAGGAGGAAGGCCAGCTCAGGGGGCCTTTCCTGCCTCCCCTAGGCAAGAGGGACATGGGTCAGAACACTTTGTCCTGCTGACGGAAGCTTCCAGGCTCTCAGGGGCTCACATCCGGCCCATGACACTGACAGAGAGTGGTCTGGACAAGCAGGCACAGGCACACACCAGACCCTTGGGAGCCAGTGGAGGAAAAAGGTTTCTTTGGAGCCACAGCTTGTCCTCAAAGAAGATAATACTTAACTGACTCCACGGTCTGGCGCTCTGTCTCTTTCTTAATGTCTTAAAAATGTTCATTTACTTTTAAGAGAGAGAGAGAGAGACAGAGCATGAGCAGGGGAGGGGCAGAGAGAGAGAGGGAGACACAGAGTCCGAAGCAGGCTCCAGGCTCCGAGCCGTCAGCACAGAGCCCGACGCGGGGCTCCCACTCACGAGCTACGAGATCATGACCTGAGCCGAAGTGGAATGCTCAACCCA